TGCGGGGAAGTGGATCAAACGGTAGTAGTGTTGAGTGGGTAACCAGGGAAGTGACTCTCATTGATGGTTACTCAGGTAGGATTGAAACCTCTCTTAATCTACCTCTAACACTCCTAAATTAACCTCCTGGTGACCTCAAGTTCCTTGTGACCTCAGGTGACCTCAAATTACTGTGACCTCAGGTGACCTCAAGCTCCTGGTGACCTCAGGCTCCTGGTGACCTCAGGCTTCTGGTGACCTCAGGCTCCCGGTGACCTCAGGCTTCTGGTGACCTCAGGCTTCTGGTGACCTCAGGCTTCTGGTGACCTCAGGCTTCTGGTGACCTCATGTTTCTGGTGACCTCAGGCTTCTGGTGACCTCAGGCTTCTGGTGACCTCAGGCTTCTGGTTACCTCAGGCTCCCGGTGACCTCAGACTTCTGGTGACCTCAGGCTCCCGGTGACCTCAGGCTTCTGGTGACCTCAGGCTTCTGGTGACCTCAGGCTTCTGGTTACCTCAGGCTCCCGGTGACCTCAGACTTCTGGTGACCTCAGGCTTCTGGTGACCTCAGGCTTCTGGTGACCTCAGGCTTCTGGTGACCTCAGACTTCTGGTTACCTCAGGCTCCCGGTGACCTCAGACTTCTGGTGACCTCAGACTCCCGGTGACCTCAGGCTCCCGGTGACCTCAGACTTCTGGTGACCTCAGGCTCCCGGTGACCTCAGACTTCTGGTGACCTCAGACTCCCGGTGACCTCAGGCTTCTGGTGACCTCAGGCTCCCGGTGACCTCAGGCTCCCGGTGACCTCAGGCTTCTGGTGACCTCAGACTTCTGGTGACCTCAGACTCCCGGTGACCTCAGGCTTCTGGTGACCTCAGGCTTCTGGTGACCTCAGGTGTAAAAACACAGCTGTATCCTCTGATAAATTTCAGAGTCCTGGAGCGCGAGCAACGAGAACACGATATTCAAGATATCTATTCAATTCAATTCAATTGCAAGTTTATTCTGTGTAAGAATTACAATGAGTACCGAGGATGGCGTCACTTTCAAGCTGAAACAACCTGCTACATTATTATTGTGTATTTTTCACTTCTTGCTGCTAAACCTTCAGCTTGATTACAAATAAATTTAAGAGATGGGAATTAATGGAGGCTGAAGCAGATGGGAACTTTGTAGCAAGTCTGGTGATGAGAAACAGATTTAGAAGGCGACTGCCAGCCTACCTGTCTGCCAGCCTACCTGTCTGCCAGCCTACCTGTCTGCCAGCCTACCTGTCTGCCAGGGTACCTGTCTGCCAGCCTACCTGTCTGCCAGGGTACCTGCCTGCCAGCCTACCTGTCTGCCAGGGTACCTGTCTGCCAGCCTACCTGTCTGCCAGCCTACCTGTCTGCCAGCCTACCAGCCTGCCAGCCAGCCTGCCTGCCAGCCTACCTGTCTGCCAGCCTACCTGCCAGCCAGGGTACCTGCCTACCAGCCTACCTGCCAGCTAGCCTACCTGCCTGCCAGCATACCAGCCTGCCATCCAGCCTGCCTGCCAGCCTACCTGTCTGCCAGCCTACCTGCCAGCCAGGGTACCTGCCTGCCAGCCTACCTGCCAGCCAGCCTACCAGCCTGCCAGCCTACCTGCCAACCAGCCTACTTGCCTGCCAGCCTACCTGCCAACCAGCCTGCCAGCCTACCTACCAGGCTGCCCGCCAGAGCTCCTCACAAAGTGCTTCAACAACTGCCAGGAGAAAAACAACTATTTCTGAGGAAGAAACTAATGTCAGCTGAGGAGAATTATATTGTGCATAATATGTGCTCAATGATGGTTAAATGGTCTCAGGATGCTCACTGAGTGGCCTCAAGATGGTTAATGAGAATGCTCGCTGAATGGCCAAACAATGCTCTCTGAGTGGCCTCATAATGCTCACTGAGTGCCTCACAATTCTCTCTGAGTGGCCTCACAGTGCTCACTGACTGGCCTCATAGTGCTCACTGACTGGCCTCATAGTGCTCACTGACTGGCCTCACAGTGCACACTGAGTGGCCTCACAATGTTCACTGAGTGGCCTCACAGTGCACACTGAGTGACCTCACAATGCACACTGAGTGGCCTCACAATGCTCACTGAGTGGCCTCACAGTGCACATTGAGTGGTCTCACAATGCTCTCTGAGTGGCCTCATAATGCTCTCTGAGTGGCCTCACAATGTTCACTGAGTGGCCTCACAGTGCTCAGTGAGTGGCCTCACAGTGCTCAGTGAGTGGCTTCACAGTGCACACTGACTGGCCTCACAATGTTCACTGAGTGGCCTCACAATGCTCACTGAGTGGCCTCACAATGCTCACTGAGTGGCCTCACAATGCTCACTGAGTGGCCTCACAATGCTCACTGAGTGGCCTCACAATGCTCACTGAGTGGCCTCACAATGCTCACTGAGTGGCCTCACAATGCTCACTGAGTGGCCTCACAAAGCTCACTGAGTGGCCTCACAATGCTCACTGAGTGGCCTCACAATGCTCACTGAGTGGCCTCATAATGCTCACTACAATGCTCCGCTTCAGTGTTCTCTGTTTATTATCTCTTAAAATACATTCATTGTTATTGCTGTACATTATAGACGAAGACAGTTTCTTGTGGCTGATAATTTTCGAATTATAGAAAAGTGTTGCCAGTCGCAAATAATTTGTAATCCATACCTGAGACCTGTAATATAATAATTATAGGATCAATGTCTGCTTATATAATTACACCAATCAATAACTTCCTTATAGTTATAGATGATGTTTAACGTGAAATGTCAGCCATGAGTGTTAATGTAACGACTGGGACGTGATGAGTGGGAGAGTGGACGTGATGAGTGGGAGAGTGGACGTGATGAGTGGGAGAGTGGACGTGATGAGTGGGAGAGTGGACGTGATGAGTGGGAGAGTGGACGTGATGAGTGGGAGAGTGGACGTGATGAGTGGGAGAGTGGACGTGAGAGTGGGGGTGGGGGAGAGTGGACGTGATGAGTGGGAGAGTGGACGTGATGAGTGGGAGAGTGGGACGTGATGAGTGGGAGAGTGGGACGTGATGAGTGGGAGAGTGGACGTGATGAGTGGGAGAGTGGGCGTGATGAGTGGGAGATGTGGACGTGATGAGTGGGAGAGTGGGGAGCTGATGAGTGGGAGAGTGGACGTGATGAGTGGGAGAGTGGATGACGTGATGAGTGGGAGAGTGGACGTGATGAGTGGGAGAGTGGACCTGATGAGTGGAGAGTGGACGTGATGAGTGGGAGAGTGGACGTGATGAGTGGGAGAGTGGACGTGATGAGTGGGAGAGTGGACGTGATGAGTGGGAGAGTGGACGTGATGAGTGGAGAGGGAAGTGGGTACCTGATTGTGTTGGGAGAGTGGACCTGATGAGTGGGAGAGTGGACGTGATGAGTGGGAGAGTGGACCTGATGAGGTTCGGGAGAGTGGACGTGTATGAGTGGGAGAGTGGACGTGATGAGTGGGAGAGTGGACGTGATGAGTGGGAGAGTGGGGGTGATGAGTGGGAGAGTGGACGTGATGAGTGGGAGAGTGGACGTGATGAGTGGGAGAGTGGACCTGATGAGTGGGAGAGTGGACGTGATGAGTGGGAGAGTGGACCTGATGAGGGGAGAGTGGACGTGATGAGTGGGAGAGTGGCGTGATGAGTGGGAGAGTGGACGTGATGAGTGGGAGAGTGGACGTGATGAGTGGGAGAGTGGACGTGATGAGTGGGAGAGTGGACGTGATGAGTGGGAGAGTGGACGTGATGAGTGGGAGAGTGGACCTGATGAGTGGGAGAGTGGAGGGTGATGAGTGGGAGAGTGGACGTGATGAGTGGAGAGTGGGGGTGATGAGTGGGAGAGTGGACGTTATGAGTGGGAGAGTGGACTGATGAGTGGGAGAGTGGACGTGATGAGTGGGAGAGTGGACGTGATGAGTGGGAGAGTGGAGGTGATGAGTGGGGAGAGTGGACGTGTGATGAGTGGGAGAGTGGGGGGTGATGAGTGGGAGAGTGGACGTGATGAGTGGGAGAGTGGACGTGATGAGTGTGGAGAGTGGACGTGATGAGTGGGAGAGTGGGGGTGATGAGTGGGAGAGTGGGGAAAACGTGATGATGTGGAGAGTGGACGTGATGAGTGGGAGAGTGGGGGTGATGAGTGGGAGAGTGACGTGATGAGTGGGAGAGTGGACGTGATGAGTGGGAGAGTGGACGTGATGAGTGGGAGAGTGGGGGTGATGAGTGGGAGAGTGGACGTGATGAGTGGGAGAGTGGACGTGATGAGTGGGAGAGTGGACGTGATGAGTGGGAGAGTGGACTGATGAGTGGGAGAGTGGACTGATGAGTGGGAGAGTGGACGTGATGAGTGGGAGAGTGGACGTGATGAGTGGGAGAGTGGACGTGATGAGTGGGAGAGTGGGGTGATGAGTGACGTGGGGATGGAGTGGGGGGTGATGAGTGGGAGAGTGGACGTGATGAGTGGGAGATGGACGTGATGAGTGGGAGAGTGGACGTGATGAGTGGGAGAGTGGACTGTATGGAGTGGGGAGGTAGTGGACGTGATGAGTGGGAGAGTGGACGTGATGAGTGGGACAGTGGGAGGTGATGAGTGGGAGAGTAGACGTGATGAGTGGGACAGTGGACGTGATGAGTGGGAGAGTGGACGTGATGAGGGGAGAGTGGACGTGATGAGTGGGAGAGTGGACGTGATGAGTGGGAGAGTGGAGTGATGAGTGGGAGAGTGGACGTGATGAGTGGGGACAGTGGGGGTGACGAGTGGGAGAGTAGACGTGATGGTGGGAGAGTGGAGGTGATGAGTGGGACAGTGGGGTGATGAGTGGGATAGTGGACGTGATGAGTGGGAAGTGGAGGTGATGAGTGGGACAGTGGGTGGTGTGATGAGTGGGAGTCAGTGGGGTGGGATGAGGTGGAGAGTGGAGGTGATGAGTGGGACAGTGGGGGTGATGGTGGGAGAGTGGACGTGATTGAGTGGGACAGTGGGGTGATGAGTGGGACAGTGGGGGTGATGAGTGGAGAGTGGAGTGATGAGTGGGACAGTGGGAGTGATGAGTGGGAAGTGGAGCGTGATGAGTGGACAGTGAGGCGTGATGAGTGGGAGAGTGGACGTGATGAGTGGGACAGTGGAGGTGGTGGTGAGCGGGAGAGTGGACGTGATGAGTGGGAGAGTGGACGTGATGAGTGGGAGAGTGGAGGTGATGAGTGGGAGAGTGGACGTGATGAGTGGGACAGTGGAGGTGATGAGTGGGAGAGTAGATGTCATGAGTGGGAGAGTAGATGTCATGAGTGGGAGAGTAGATGTCATGAGTGGGAGAGTGGATATGATGAGTGGGAGAGTAGACGTGATGATGATGAGTGGTGATGAGTGGACGTGATTATGAGTGGGAGAGTGGACGTGATGATGATGAGTGGGATATGATAATGATGAGTGGGAGAGGGGACGTGATAATGATGAGTGGGAGAGTGGACGTGATGATGAGTGGGAGAGTAGACGTGATGATGATGAGTGGGAGAGTGGACGTGATTATGAGTGGGAGAGTGGACGTGATGATGATGAGTGGGATATGATAATGATGAGTTAGACATGATAATGATGAGTGGGAGAGGGGACGTGATAATGATGAGTGGGAAAGAGGGACGTGTTGGCTATTATGACTTATGTCATTCTTAAGAATGATGTGCTTGTTATTATACCAGACCTGGGAACACTGCACTACCTTATACACCAGCTGAACCACCTGCAACACCAGCTGAACCACCTGCAACACCAGCTGAACCACCTGCAACACCAGCTGAACCACCTGCAACACCAGCTGAACCACCTGCAACACCAGCTGAACCACCTGCAACACCAGCTGAACCACCTGCAACACCAGCTGAACCACCTGCAACACCAGCTGAACCACCTGCAACACCAGCTGAACCATCAACACCAGCTGAACCATCAACACCAGCTGAACCATCAACACCAGCTGAACCACCTGCAACACCAGCTGAACCATCAACACCAGCTGAACCATCAACACCAGCTGAACCACCTGCAACACCAGCTGAACCATCAACACCAGCTGAACCATCAACACCAACTGAACCATCAACACCAGCTGAACCACCTGCAACACCAGCTGAAACATCAACACCAGCTGAACCACCTGCAACACCAGCTGAACCATCAACACCAGCTGAACCACCTGCAACACCAGCTGAACCATCAACACCAACTGAACCATCAATACCAGCTGAACCACCTGCAACACCAGCTGAAACATCAACACCAGCTGAACCATCAACACCAGCTGAACCATCAACACCAGCTGAACCATCAACACCCCGCGGAAATAACCAATGAGTAAATAACTAACCAGTGAAAATAAAAATGGCCCCCGTAAATAAACCATTGGGGGCCCATAAAAAAACCCATAAAAGGGGAAATCCCCAGGGGGGGTGAAAAAAAGAAAAACCATAACCCAAGGGAATAAAAGGGGGCCCATAAAAAAGGGGCCCAGGGGGAAAAAGGGGGAAATCCCAATTAGGGGCCCAGGGGGGAAATAGTGAAATCCCCCAAATGAACCTGGGGGTAAACCAAACAAAATGAAAGAAATAAATTAAACCATAAAAATGAAACTTGAAAATAAAAACCAAAAAAGGTAATTAGGGGGAAAAACTGAAAAGGGGGAACTTTAGGGGTTTAACAAGGGGCCCTCCATAGGGGGAAAGTCAAATAGGGGGAAAATAAAAATTGGCCCATAAAAAAGGGGGTGAAATTAAAAGCTGAAATAGAATGAAAAAAGTAAATGCCAAGGGAAATAAAAGAAAAATAAAATTTGAAACCCCCTAAACCCCGGGGGCCCAAAAAACCGGAAATTATTTTGGGGAAAACTGAAATAAAAGGGGGAAAATTTTAATAAGGGGGAAAACCTGAAATAGGGGGAAAATAACAAAGGGGGAAAAAAAACCCCAATGAAATAACCCCGTGTTAATAAAAGGGGGCCCTGAGAAAAATGAATTAAACCCGGTTTAGTTAACCCCATAAAAGGGGAAACCCCCTTAAAAAGGGGGAAAATAAACTTTTTGGGCCTTTTAAACCCCAAAAACCAAAAAAAGGTTTGGTTTTTCCCCCCAAAACCCCCTGAACCCCCTGAAACCCCTTAAATAACACCAGCTAAAACCCAAACCCCCTGCCTCCCCCCAACTGAACCCAGGCCTCAACCACCACTGAACCACCGCAACCCCAGCTAAAACCAAAAACCCGAAAACCACCACCTAAAACCATCACACCAGCTGAACCACCTGCACACCACTGAAACCCCAACCCCTTGCCAACACCACTAACCATCAACCCCAGCTGAACCACCTGCAACACCAGGCTAACCCCAAACGAAAAACCCCCCCTAAAACCTAAACCCCCATCCAACACCAGCTGAACCATCAACCCCAGCTTGAACCCCCCAACCCCAAAAACCCAGCTGAACCACAACCCCAAACTGCCCCCATCAACCCCAAACAAAAACCACCTGCCAACCCCAACTGAACCACCCAACACCAGTTAAACCCTCAACACCAAGCCCAAACCCCTTCAACCCCAGCTAAACCCCACCTAAAACCCCAAAGAAAAACCCATCAACACCGCTGAACCATCAACCCCCATCTTAAAAACCCCCCAACCCAGCTAACCCCTCAAAAAACCAAACCAACACCAACAACCCAAACAAAACCACTAAAACCACCTGCAAAAACCCACAAAACCATAAAACCCCAACTGAACCATAAACACCAGCTAAAACCACCAAAAACCAGCGGGAACCATAAAACCCAGCTAACCCAAACCTCCCCGGGTTTAAACCCAAAAATCAACACCGGGAAACCCCATCAACACCACTAACCATCACCCCCAAACTGAAACCACCCAACCGCAAAAACCTCAACACCACGAAATCCAACACCACTAAAACCATCAAAAACCAAATGAACCATAAAACCACATTTAAACCATAAAACACCACTAAAACCCATCAACACCACAAAACCCATAAACCACCACTGAACCACCTGCAAAAACCACTAAACCATCAACACCCCACTGCCCCCAACAACCCCAACCCAATCCCCAACCCAACCTCACACCACAAAAACCATTCAACACCCTTTTGAACCATAAAACACCACCCAAAAACCTCAACACCACTGAACCATCAACCCAAAGCTAAAACCATCAACACCAGCTAAACCCTTTCAACACAACTGAACCATCAACACCAGCTGAACCAAAAACCCCAAAATTTGAACCATCAATACCACCTAAAACCATCCAACCCACTAAAACCCCCTTCAAAAACCAAACTGAACCATCAACAAAAAGCAAAAACCATCAACACCAGCTAAACCCATAAACCCCAACAACCCATAAAAACCCCCAGCTGAACCACCTGAAACACCAGCTAAACCATCACACCAGCTGAACCATCAACCAACCCATTTAACCATCAACACCACTAAACCCAAACCCCTGCCCAAACCCAAAGCTGAACCACCCAAACCCCAACTGAACCTTAAAACCCCACTGAACCACCTCAACACCAGCTAAAACCACAACACCATTTAACCCCCAAAACCCCAAACTGAACCATCAAACCACTGAACCACCTGCAACACCACCTTAAAACATCAACCCCAAACTGAACCATCAAACACAGCTAACCAGAAACCCCACTGAACCATCAACACCACTGAACCATCAACACCACTGAAACCATCAACACCATTTGAACCTTTGAAAAACACCATTTAAAAACCATCAACCCCAAACGGGAACCATAAACCCCAAACCAAAACCATCAACACCAGCTAAAACCAAATCAACCCCAGCGAACCATCAAAAACCCACTAAACCCCAAAAACACCAGAAAACCATCAACACCGCCTGAAACAACCCAACACCACTAACCATCAAAAAAAACCCCCTGAACCTTAAACACCATTGAACCATAAACCCAGCTGAACCACCAACCCCCCACTAAACCCACCGAAAACCCCAAACGGGGAACCATCAACCCCAGCTAAAACCACCAACCCACGGGAAACCACCTGCAAAAACCAAAATTTGAAAAATCAAAAACCACCCTGAACCACCGAAAAAACCACTTAAACCCCACCACCAAAAAACCAAAACCCGGGCCCCCAAATTAAAACACCACTAAAACCATCAACACCAGCTGAAAAAATCAACCCCAAACGGGAACCATCAACACCACTGAACCAACAACACCACCTGAACCATCAACCAAAAAACTGAACCAACAACACCACTGAACCCCCCCAAACCCCAGCTAAACCCCCCCCAAACACCAGCTAAACCCAAACAAAAACCGGCTGAACCAAAAACACCACCCTTGAACCATCAACAACCCACTGAACCATCAACACCACTGAACCCCCTGCAACCCAACTGAAAACCCAAAAATCCAACACCAGTAAAAATCAACCAACCAACACCACTGCCCCATCGGGCCCCCAGCAAAACCCAAACCTAAAACACCACTAAACCCAAATCAAAAACCACTGAACCCCCCAAAAACCACTGAACCATAAACCCCAAACCAAATTTTTGGAAACCATCAACCCCAAACCTGAACCATAAACCCCCCAGCTGAACCAACACCCTAAACCAAAACACCCTAAAAACCACCTCAACACCGCTAACCATCAACCCAAAACTAAACCACCCAAACCAGCTGAACCACCCCGCAAAAAACAACTGAACCATCAACACCAGCTGAACCCCCTTTCAACAACAAAAACCCCCCCTAAACCCATCAACACCATTAAAAACCCTCAACCCCAACGAACCATCAAAAACCCCAATTCCCCATCAACACCAGTTTGGAACCATCACACCAGCTGAACCACCCAACAACCACTGAACCACCCAACACCATTAAACCATAAACCCCACTGAACCATCAAAACCACTAAAACCCCCTCACCCGGAAAACCCTAACTAAAAAAACACCCTAAACCCAAAACAACACCACTAAAACCCAACCTGCCCCCTGAACCCATCAACCCCCGCTGAACCATAAAACAAAAACAAACACCGCAAAAAAACCAAACCCCCTTGAACCATCAAAACCACTAAACCCAATCAGCACCACGGGAAACCATAAACACCAGCTGAACCCATCTGCAAACCCCCCTTTTTTAAAATCATTAATCTCCCCTCCAGATCCCCCCCCATCCCCTCCCCCCTTTTTCC